ATTCATTTTTACCTAATTATATAATCATTTATAATTATTAAAATAATAATAATAATAGTTTTTAATTATTAAATGCAAGTTTTCCTTCATTCATTAATATTCTGAAAAAAAACTCATATACAGGGTGTTCAGTAAGTCAGGAAACGGGTTTCTATTGTTCTTATTGTTTGTAACAATGAGAACAATAGAAACCCGTTTCCTGACTTACTGAACACTCTGTATATACATACAAAGTGATCGAAATCTGGTAAGACACTTATTTTCTCAGAAACTATTGAGAATTTAAAATTTTTGTAAAAAAAAAATTATTAAGTTTATAAAACTATACAATAATATGAAGTTAAATAAATTTTTTTTTTATCCCTTGAGGGATAAAAATGTTTATTTATAATTTTTTTAAAGGAGAACCACAATTTTTGATTTGATATGATAGAAAAAAAACTTACAAACAATTTTGTTCTTATAATTTTTTTTATCCGTACAACCGTTTACGTTTTATAATTGTTTAAAGATTTTGACTTCCAGAAAAATATTGTCATTTATTACGTTTCATAATATCGGTGGCAGTGCAACCGGTATTTTTGTTAGATCCTTTAGTATTACAAAACCATAGACTTAGCTATTAACCCTTAAACAGTCGCGTGGGGGTCTAGCAAACTCCAACATAAATAAAAACGGATGTATTATATTGCATAATAGGTGTACATAGGTATAAATTTAGAAGATGGTTTTTATAGTAATATTGAATAGATTTTTATAAATAAATACCTTCATCAGATTTATTATTATTATTATTATTTATTGGAATAACTCGGGGTACTATTACTATAAATAAATATATTATATTCTAGTATTTAGAACGTGATAATTTTTTTGTATTAAATTATCTTGATATGTAGAAGTCAAGGGTATGTATTGGGAGATTATTATCGTAATTCGATGTATGGGTTATAACACTTGGTCACAGTTGTTATTGTTGATCTCGTAATAGTAATTCATTTTATTTATTATTAGTGACTAAAAAAAAAAAAAAATTATGTATATATATATATATCATCGTATTTGATCATATTATGAGGAGAGAAGAATCGTAAGCCGTAAGAACAGTTGTAGAAATGAAAGTTGAAGGAAGAAGAGGTAGAGGAAAACCAAAAAAGAGATGGACAGATGTTATTGAATACGACATGAGGACAGCTGATGTAAATGTGGAGTATGTGGGAGATCGTGTCAAGTGAAAGTTTAGGATAAGGGTGGCCGACCCCAAGTAGTTGGAATTAAGGCGAGGAAGAAGAAAAAAAATATATATAATGGTATTTGATTTAGAATAATTTTTTAAATAAAATGAACCAAAAAGTTATTCACTGTGTTAAAATGTTTTTTTAGATCTCCTGGATACTTGAAATCCGCTTGACAAACGGAACATGGGTGACGGATATCGGTGTGGGTTTACTCGTGACATCTTAAATTTTGCATTAGAGTAAAAGATTTTGTGCACTTACCACAGGAATACATTTTTAACCAGGATTATTTAAAATCAAGCAGTTAAAATTAAATTAAGCAATTATAAATTAAAATTAAGCAGTTATAAATTAAAATAAAGCACTTAAAAATTAGATCTAAAATATTATTATTATTAATATGTTAGAAGCTATAAGACTAGTAATAGTAAACTTAGCACTAATAAAGTATAAGAGCTGGAAGATTAATTTAACCAAACTCATATAAATGCTTAAAGACTACTATAATTAAACTTAACACTACTAATAACTTAAATAATAATAAACTATTAGTAAGATACTATTTGAGTAAGTAACTTAAACAAATTTTATAATAAATATCAAGTCAGGAAAAATTATGATTGTTTGTATGTGTGTTCAGCGATAAATGATAACTTTATGAATTCAAATAAAAACTCGGTTTACAGCAAGAATCAAAATTTGTATCTGACCTATTATATACATTCAGGTCACTTTTATAATTGACCCTTGGCCATTAGGGGTTGACCGAATAAAATCTTTTCTCTATGTCTAGATTGTAGCCGCCATCTTAGCGTTTTTTTAGCTATAAGTTCTATAGCGCTTGCTAATCAGTAGTTTTGTATTCATTTTGTTGTAAAAAGAAAAATATCACTTTTGCGATTGTCGCACCTGTGCACTTAGCATATCGCCGTTGAGTATATATTTTCTGAAATACATTACAGAAATGTTTAAAGCATATTGTACACGTACTACTTGCAATCGACTTCAATTGATCTTTCCAATATTCAACATTATCACCAGCCGTTTCAATTAGCTAATAAGTATAATGCTTGTTCATCTTTTTTTCTAAGACTTACTAACTTTAATAATTTATTATTTGTGTTATATCATCGCCTTTGTCGCATTAGTATTAAGTGTCCTCCTATCCGCATTGGTGTATATAAGATTTTATAATTCTATTATATATTGTAAAATTCATTCTACATTCACTCATACAGTCCACTCGCCTTATTCGTTATCCTCGAAATAGCCAAAGACTTAAGATAAAATTAAACCACTAACGTTAACGAACCCCCGTGAATATCACCGGGCGCTGCGTTCATTCAGAGGGGCTTAGTGTACCATGTACTTAATTTTCTTTGACATAATTAATATTATAAATCTTATCAAGTGAACTTTCACTGATGAAATTTTTTATTTTATAGTTGTATCTCTATTGAAAATAATTAATATATTTGGTATAAAACAATTAGACGTATGATGAACGGTTCATAAAATATAAAGATATTTCTGAAAAACGGAAATGGCTGCTAAATCTTACGTTAATTTCATTTATTATATTATCTACCACTGTAAAATACACAAATCAAGAATTTTGAACCGTATATTCATTATGTTTAATTATTTGTTAAGTATTTATATAATTAATTAATTTACTAACATTTTTATTCTATCAATTTGTTGTATATTTTCATCATAATTTATAGAAATATTTAGATGTGTTAAGACTATGTGAGTGTATTGAAAGTATAATAATAATTTAACAATTTTATAAGAAAGTGTTAGATTAAAGAGCTTATCAAAAAAACAATTGATTTAATAACCCTTTGGTTTTTGCGGTCTATTTTATTTTTCAAACTTTTTGACAATTGTTTTTATAACAGGTTCCAATTGAAAAAAATAATGAATATATTTATTTAGTGACCTATCTTGTATAAATATGTGAGGAATTTTTAAAACTTTGTGATAATAATTTTGGATTTCGAAAAATATTACATAAAAATTAATAAAGCAAAGTCGAACTGAAATGCATAAATTACTTTTAGCAATCTAATTGCGTCATCAACAGCTTAACTGATATCAATAAAAATAACTAATATCAAATAAAACAAGACTAAGCCGTTGTGTATAACAATATATATAAGAATATTTGTTTTACCAGATACCCAAAGGTCAACTGATATTACTATGGAAGGGATAAGTGCAGTGGTTTCCCGTTGCCTTTTACACTTGGGATCTGGTGCTTTTTGCCATCGTAAAACGTACGTATGGTCACCCATCCGTACACTATGGCGGCAGGCGTGGCTTAACACTAGAGTTTTGTCAACATCTAGCGTGTCCACCGCGCCACACCACGCCATTATGTATGATTAATTTCGATTGAACGTAAAAAAAAAGATAAAAAGAAACGATTGAATTAATATTTTTAAAGTATGATACAAATGTGTGAATGAAAAATAGATGAATTTTCAAATTAAAATGTTGGTAAATTTAGCTAATTATATATATTATGAGATAGTCAAACTTACCTTGATAACTTAATTTTTTTTTTAGTGTTTTCATCGGCTCATTTAAAGGGCATTGCGGCCTCTTCCGAAGGAAGAGGTTTTCCTAACCATTTATACTCCGGGACGGGTGGATAGTCCGTCACTGAATGATAACTTAATGCACAATTAAAAATATGAAATAAAAGTTGACTCAAAGCGGATTAAATTATCCGTATTAGACTTGACAATAAATGATATAATGGTTATAACAGAAACGTAATGCGGACTGTATAACTTAATATTAAGCAATATTACAAATATAGAGATCTTCTTAGTCGAATGAGAACAATCGATAAAATGTCTTCTAATAAACAGTTATACTTATTTTCATATTAAAATGTCTCTAGCACATACCTACCACACAATATCTTATAATAAAGTGATTTCATAAAAAGCTAATTCTAATAGTTTATTCAATATGAATTCATATTAAATGTAAACATTTAACCACAAAAATTATCATTTGAATACTACTCGTAGAGAAAACATTCGATCTGATAGAGTTTGTATAGTAGGCAGAATATATTCCGTTTATGATACCAGAATGATCTTTCTTTAATTGGTTATTGTCGAAGCTCGATCGTCTCTCTTACTCTTAAAAAAAAATATGCTGTCTCTCTTTTTGTATTTTCCTGATTCCCAATTTGTTTTAAAAATTCTATACTCTGAAAACACATTTGATGTTAAAGCTCATTGTTCGACAAGTTTTCCTCCTTCTTTTTATAATAAAATAGGATCGCACTCCATGTTCACATTGATTGTGTTGTGCCAAGTCCATTTTATTTTAGTCGGTAGTCTAGATGTATCAATTTATGATTTTATCATAGAACTCAAGTTATTGTTAATAATAAAAGTTGATTTTATTTATTAATTTAATGCAACCGTAGATAATAAAGAATTCTGTATTATCTATTGGTATAACATAAGTGTTTATTTAGACAGCAACAGTTTTAGCAATTATAATAATATATCTCAACAATTAAAGACCAAAGTACAATTTTATTAATAAAATCATAGGTTTAAAATTTGTTGCTAATAAAAATTGTTTTTACATTGAAAATATTATCTAAATAAAAATTTTGTTATATATCCTACTTATTCTAGATCATTCAGTATTATTGATATTCAGTTATCTCATTTAAAATTTTTAAGTTTGGTTATCAAAAATATTATTATTAAAATGATTATCAAAATAATCTTATTATTTGATACTTCTTGTCAGTTATGTAATAATTTTTATGTCTAATAACATCATATTTTTATTAATACAATTTTATAAAATTATTCAACCACGTTTGACTTCAGTTATTAAATGTACAGACAATTAAATAAAATTTGTAAGCCTATCGAAACGAATTTCAATTATAGAATGGCATCATTAAAAACGAATGGTTAGTAATAACAATTAAATATTAAGCTTCAGCCATTTTAAATAAACATAAAAGAAATTGAACTCCAGAAAAGACAATTATTAATTATATTTATGTGCTTTTATTAGTCTATTTTTAAGTAAAAAATATAAGTTTATAAAAATTTGCCTTTACTTATGAAATATGTTTATGTTTTAAATAAATTAATGTAAATTAAACTTCAAATTAATATGGGCATGCCGGTTTTACTTAATAAAGTTCTTGTAAAACTGCAAATTATCTATAAAATCAGTGAACACTTATTATTTCTAATGTGATTACATTTATTCAATGAATAATTATATAAATCTTGACAAATTTTATAAGAGAATTAATTATCTAGTATTTGTAAAATCAATATTTATTTATGGTATATCATTCTAGGGTAGAGCATCTATAAATTATTTATCTAGACTTGTTACTTTAAACTGTATTATAAAGTTTTTTTCATAATCTACCTATGCAAATTGATACCATATTAATTTATAAAGGATATTTATATGAAAGATTTAAAATTTTTAATAATTTATCTGTTATAAATGAATTGTACAGACATAAAAATTTAATTTCATTAATGAGACATGATCACAACACGAGATTTAGGCAAAATACTAAATTATGTATTCTAAAGTATTTCAACAAAAAAACACTTTATATAATGATCTTAATTTATGTTTTAGATTAGATTTAAATACTCACAACTTCAAAAATTTGTTCAAAATATTTTTTTAAATAATATTATCTTCCTATTTTGTTAAAATTTTTGTTTTTAATGTAGTTTATTGTTTAGAATAAAATTAAAAATTAAAAAAGGAACAAAAAGAATTTGTTAAGTATTGTAGATATTCCTATATAAGTATATTTGATAATTTGTTATATTCATTAAAATTTTGTTTGTTCAATTGTGAACTTTTATGTAAAACATGAATTCCACCGCTAGTACAAGATTTGCTTTTAGAAGGTGTTTGTAATTATATAATTACTTATTATCTAATGCTATTTAGATATAATATTACAAATTATTGTAAATAATATAATTTTTAGAATAATTATAATTTCTCTTTATATGAAGAGAATATTTAACTTTGTTTTAAATTCTCTTATAAGTGAAATAAAATTGTTAGCCATAATTGTTGAACTCCCAATAAATTATTTTTGTTCAATTATATTAATTAATAATAATGATGTATTATTTTTTATGTTTACCCTAAATTTAATTATAAAATGTATATATTTTCAGTTTTCATTACCTAAAGTCAAAGTGATACCTACTGATTCAATATATATATCTTTGTGAAATTCAACATAAATTTTATAGAAATTAAATCTAACATATTTTTAAGAATGTACTCTTTTTAGCTTCGATGCGAAGCTGAGAAGGTATTAATTTTTATATATATATATAAATGTTAATATGACTACATTTATTTCAAAAAATTAAAATTTTAACCCGATAAGTGTTAATTGCAAATGTACTTATTTTTAGCCAATATTTCAGACCAAGAATTAAAAAAAGAAATTAATTTAAAACTAAAAAATATTTAATTAAAAAAGCTCCAAAAATTATTAAAAAATCACGGATAAGTATTTCGAGAACAATGTTACCATTATCAATGCTAGACACATACTGAAATACTTATCTGCGATTTTTTAGTTACTTTTTTGTGGCTTTTTGATATTTTTATGTTTTAAATTAATATTTGTAATGTAATTTCATTTTTAAATAATTAGCCACAAGGGATCAATTTTTATTACATTATTATTCATAGTCTTTAATTGATTATAATGTTAACTTATAGTAATCTAGTACATTTAAATGTTTATGTATCATTTCTATAATTGTTTGACAATCATTGANCTATCACAAGTTTCATTTAAAAATAGAAGACTTATTAATTTATTTCTCATACAGAAATATACAGAGTGTTCAGTAAGTCAGGAAACGGGTTTCTATTGTTCTCATTGTTTGTAACAATGAGAACAATAGAAACCCGTTTCCTGACTTACTGAACACTCTGTATATTTCTGTATGAGAAATAAATTAATAAGTCTTCTATTTTTAAATGAAACTTGTGATAGTTTACCTCTGGAATACATGTTTAATCTTATTATATTTTATAATTATTTTTATTTTTAAATCAAAATAAATAATTGTTTTTTCAGGTTTTCGTGCAGCCTTAATACAAATGACTGTCTCTGATAACAAAAAATTAAACATTTCTAATGCTATAAAACGAGTTGAGTTAGCCAAAAATAATGAATGTACTTTGGCCATATTACCTGAATGTTTTAATTCGCCATATAACACAGGTAAATTTGATGTATCATTTATAATATTTTGTGATTCAACATATTTTTGTTTGGCGTGAGAAACTACCTATATGCAAAAAAATGAACTATCAATAATTAGATAGAGTATTTTTTGCTAAATCTATAAATATTAATGAGAAAGTTTTTGGTCAAGCGACAATTTTTTGAATTGAAGTAAATCTATTTTATAAATTTAATTTGTCATTTATTTAGTATTATGTTTTACTTTTTTTAAAGCTTTGTTCAGAAAATATTCGGAATCAATCCCTGATGGTGAAACATGTAAAGCTCTATCTCAAGCTGCAAAATCTAATCAAATTTACATTGTAGGAGGTTCAATTCCAGAGCTATGTGATGATAAAGTTTATAATACATGTACTGTTTGGGATTCTAGTGGTAATATGATAGCTAAACATAGAAAGGTAAAATTCTGTTCTGTAGACTAAAGTTTAAATTAAAACATTGTATAACATTAGTGATATGTTTTTAATTTAATAATCTTTAGATGCATTTATTTGACATAAATGTACCAGGAGGTATTTGCTTTAAAGAATCTGATGCTTTAACGGGTGGAGATACCATAAACACATTTAAAATTAATTCCTATAAAATAGGTTTAGGTATATGTTATGACATACGATTTCCTGAAATGGCAACTCTATATCGAAAAGCAAGTAAAGATAATTTTTTATTATTGTAGTTATTAAATCAATTTATTTATTTTTTAATTTTAGAATGTGATATGCTAATTTATCCTGCTGCATTTAATACAACTACTGGTCCACTTCATTGGACTTTGTTAATTAGAGCTCGAGCTGTTGATAATCAGGTGTTTGTAGCAACTACATCTCCTGCTAGAGTGGATGATTCAAATTATGTTGCATGGGGTCATTCAATGATTGTGAATCCATGGGGTGAAATATTAGATGAAGCCTCTGAGAAAGATATGGATTTATACATAGATCTGGGTAAAACATTTTCTTCTTTATTTTTAATTTATGAAAATTAGTCACTTACATTCAGTAATTACTTATTAATGAATATCTTAAAATAATTTGAGAAAAGTGAATAACATTTGTACTATCTTTTTCATTCAAGTCAACTTACAAAAAATATTTTTGAAAAATCTATATATAACTATATATTAATCATTAAATAAAATTAAAAATATATTAAAACTATTATTATTTTAAAAACTAAAAAATATTAAACTTAAAAGCGACAAAAAAAACCCAGCACAGGGGTGTTGCGGCACAGTGGTGACGTGGCATAGATGGATCAAGTATAATGATATCTGACAGTGATTAAAATCACTATCAAAAAAAAAAACGCTTCTATGCAAATCTTTAGATAGTGTTTAATTTTAACAAATTGGTGAATTATTCCAAAAGCCACATGATATGCTAGTTCCTTATTAATATCCTGATTAAGATAAAGTATATTGAATGAAAAAGAGATTATTAAAAAATAATATTTCTCATAAAAAAATTGTATTGATCCATACACTTTTCAATATGTCATAGCATTATAAAGTTAAAAATGTAAAAAATAAAATCGAGAATTTTCACACAATAATAGCATTCGGTAGCCATTTTCACCGTGAAGATAAAATAAAGTCCGAAATTTTTTTTTTTCATAATAAAGTATATTACATTAGCTTTAATTTAAGATATATATAAAAGTGTCAGACTTTCCGGAACAGTTTCAAAATTTAAGTTGAAAAAGTAAATTTTTTGTGAAAAAGTTGTCATTTTAAATCCCCCCCTGTGGGCAGGTAAAGGGTCAGATATAAAAAAAAAATATACCAAATGATAGGTAAAGACATCATGCATCTATAAAAAAAAAATTATATTGATCCATACATCTTTCAAAAAGTTATAGCATTATAAAGTTAAAAATATAAAAAAGAATTTTTTTACAAAAATCGTATTTTTTTTATAAACTTTGATGTCTGTTTTCACCATGAAGATAAAATAAAGTCCGAAATTTTTTTTTTGCATAATAAAGAATATTACATTAGCTTTAATTTAAGATATATATAAAAATGTCAGACCTTCCAGAACACTTTCAAAAGTTAAGTTGAAAAAGTTCTACTTTCTATATGCATTTTTTATATTTGAAGCCCCCCCATATATAGGGAAATAGTCTGATTTAAAAAAAAAGTATATCCAATGAAAGATGTATATAAATACTACTTCTCATGAAAAAATTGTATTGATCCATACATTTTTTAAAAAGTTATAGCACTTTAAAGTAAAAAATGTAAATTATAAAATCGAAAATTTTCACACAAAAATAGCATTCGGTAGCCGTTTTCACCATGAAGACAAGTCCAGAGGTCAAATTTTTTTTTTTCAAATTAAAGTACATTACATTAGCTTTAATTTAAGATATATATAAAAGTGTCAGACCTTCCGGAACATTTTCAAAAGTTAAGTTGAAAAAGTTAATTTTTTGTGAAAAAGTTGTCATTTTAAATCCCCCCCTGTGGGCAGGTTAAGTGTCAGATTTACAAAAAAAATATACCAAATGATAAGTAAAGACATCAAGCATCTATATAAAAAAAAATTATATTGATATGTTCATTTTTGAAAAAGTTATGGTACTTTTAAGTAAAAAAAATTTCGAAAATTTCGAAAATTAGCGATTTTTAAATTTGTAATTTTTTTGGAGGTTCCCCCATTTACGGGGAACGAGGGAACTTTTTTCAATTTTTGAGGGTAATGTCTTCGACTAGATACAATTTGTGATCTTTTGACGTATCATTGAAAGAAATTGGTTCGGTGAGAGCTGAGAAAAAGTGGTAACAGAAAAAAAAAAAAAAAAAAAATAAACACATCTTATTAAAACCAATACCTTCTCAGCTTCGCATCGAAGCTAAAATTACTGAAAAGTCGCGGATACGTATTTTGGAAACAATGTTACCATTATCAAGACTAAACACATACTGACGCAATGGCTCTTTAAACTATAAAAAAAATTAATTTCTATAATGCATATGGTTATAATAGTATAAAATTTACACAAATTATTATTATTTAAATAAGTTTATTTATTATGGAAATGTAATTTTTATTTTTATAGATTTTACTGCTAGAGAACATATGAGACAACAAATACCAACTGAAAATCAAAGAAGAACAGATATATATGACACAATTAACATTAAAAATAAATATTGATAATTTATAAGTAGTGGTATTTAGAAAATCCTTAAATGAATTCAAAGGTTCATCTTAGATAATAAATTTGGTCCACTCAAACCCTCAGAATCAATAAAATATTTTTAGACTATATTTATCTTACAAATTAATTTTTTGGTTTTAATGATATTTCATTAGTCATAGTAAAGTTCATCAGTGCTCCTAACCATTTATTACAACTTCACCATTATATATATATATATATTTATATATGTAAATTTTATTTTGAATTTAGTGCCCCTTTGTTTAAGGCATATCTGGTCTAGACTTTGCCAAGGCCTAGCTTTGGCTCTGTATTACATAAATGTAAAATTTTATTCAAACAAATACTTTATTACAATAAAATTTATATACTATATATATATTTAAATATATTATATTTTGTTAGTGGGAGGGGAGGGGCTAAAACCCTTCTCCTTGTTGAGTTCTTTGGCTTTACTATAACTGAATGAACAAAAAATTAAATAATTTTATATTTAAATTTGAATTAGATTTATGTATTATTTAAGTTTCCAAAATAAAAAAAAGTGGTAAATGCTTTGGATAAAAAAAAAAAAATAGTAATAATATGAACAAAGAAATAGAAGTTATTTCTTTTAAATCCTTGGCGCACTATTGTATACCTGTCTTATTTTTTAATTTACTACTTTAGTTTTCAACACCAAAAAATGATTTAAGCAACAAAACTAATTTTTAAATTTCAAAACTTTAAAGTTTAATAAGGTTAAAAATATATTACTCTGAAAATTAATTCTCAACCAATACTAGATTTAACCAACCAACCAAACCAAATCACATGTTAATAATAAGCGATTATTAAAAATGTATTTTTATGTATTATTACTAAAAATTAAAAATTGAGTTGTACTAAATATAACATAGATGTAAAAAAATAACAAAAGGATCATGAATAGGTGGTCATTGGATGAGCTAAGTTCCTCCAAATTAAAATATTGTTTTTATTCCTTTGAATCATAGACGATTTAAACTGCTGAAACAATTCCAGATACAATTTTAAAGAAATTTTGCTTCTTATAAATTATTAGTGTTATTTGTAATATATAAATTGTTTTTATGCTCATCAATCTAATGTGTATTAATTTGTTAGTTAATCAGTTCCTTAAATTAGTTTAAATTTTTTTAGTTTGGAACATTACTCTATATTATGGAAATTAAGAGGAGTTTATCCTTATTATGGCATTGATTGCTTCAATTGTGTAAACCATTTATATAAAAAAACATAAAGAAGGAGAAGTTAGATATAATAAACACCTCTAATTATTTTTGAAACTGAGTCTATGAATAATGTCATTGACGATTTACGATAAGGTAAATCAGATTACATATATACATGTATAGCCCCAAAATGAAAAGCTTTCAATTAGAAATAGTTAATTTATCAGTGTGATACATTTTAATTGAAAATTGAAATAAGGAACTCTGATTAAAAAAAAAATTATTGTTTTACAAAGCCATGTTATTAAAAAGGGGTCTAGGACATTTTGCCCCTAGACTCTTGATATAAAAATTTATTATTAACCCCTTTTCGAAAAATTATAATTATTTAAACTATTCAAACAATTTCAATGGTACATATGAGTATTAAATCGTATAGATGGGAATATATCAAGATACTTTATTATTTTGTATTATTATTTATTGTGTATAGGATATTTTTCTTAACAGTATATCAAAGTTTTAGAATGCTTAATTAGGATAATCTTTGTTTTAAGAATACGACATATTAATTACTTTAATTTATTCTTATAATAGTTGTAATCGTATATTTTAAAACGAACTTCATTAGGTTACCCAGTAGTGTTTTGAATATTTAAAATATAAAATAATACTATATTTCAAGATAGAAGTGTGATATCCGTAAATTAATTTACTAAGTACAAATTATTTTAATATCGACAAAAAGTTGAGTTAACGAGTGAATGAATAATACCTTTACTAAACATATAGTAAATTAATAGAAACGAGTGCATTCAGTAACCGTGTAAATTGGATTGGACCAGTAGCAACTGACTAGTGGTACTCAGGCAAGTTACCCTAAAATTTGGATAGCTTATTACTCGATGGCTATTGGTCGTAGAGTCACCGAGTTTGCGGAGGCAATTTTAGTTTAAGTCCCTTAAATAGAACCCTATCACTAGGAGGGCGCGAAATTCCTTCTCAGTGATTTTGCTCATTTTTAAGCCGATTCTTCCTAAACTAAGTAACCTCAGAAATTCTACAGGAAACGGATCCCACGAACCTACCTAAAATGTTATTTTTTTTCATTATTTTAAGCTTATTTAAAGATATACACATTTCACTTGAAACATCAATAACTTATTTAACATTTAGACATTATAAAAATAATTAATTTTATAATATTATACTGGATTTTAAAGGATTAGGCTAAAATAATTATAATTTTTCGAAAAGGGGTTAATAATAAATTTATATATCAAGAGTCTGGCGGCGAATAGTCCGGGCCTGATTAAAAAGATAGATTGACTTTCAATTTTCAAGGTCATTGATAATGAGTTGTTATCATTTAATCAAACAGTAACATTTATAGAATATATTAGTAAAAGAAGTTCAGTATATATCAATTAATATGTGGTAATGTCAATCTAAAGATGTTGTTTTAATGTAAATTATTTACAACTGGTTTTCTTTCTTGAAAATACACCTTTTTTAGTGCTTATTTGTTTTACTTTTATCATTATGTCTGATAAAGTTATGCTAGTACTTGGAGAAGCCTCAGAATCCGAAGATGAAGACGTGCAATATGTAAAAAATATTTTTCTAATCTGAAAAGAATTATTTATTTTTAGATTTAAATTTTTTAGAATGACAATAATAGAAGTATATTACATTTAAATACTGAAAGTAAAAATCAGGAATTTGATATTATCAGAGAATCTAACACCATTAGTCAGAGTAAGCTAAAAAGTGTGTATTAATGTTATTTCTTTGAATATAATTCATATAATATATCTATTTAATTTTTAAATCTATTTTATAAAAATTAAGAAACAAAAAAAAGAAACCAAAAAAAAGATATTGTACAAGGAGAAAATTCAAAAATTTCCGAAGACACTTTACTTCATCGAAAATTGAGTAAGTTAACAACTAAGTTCTTCTAATGGATCATATGATAAAAAATTTCAAAATCATTCTTTTTGTTTTTAGAAGAAAAAAACATGCAGTTTTATTCTAATATTTCAATATTAAGTACTCTAATGTATTCAAATGCTGTAAATGAATTAAATGAAACCGATCAACAACTAGTTAAAGCACAAGTGTTACTTCAAGAAACTGTCAATAGTTGGAAATATATAGAACAGAATTTATCTCATGTAAGAAGAAAATTGACTGATATACTTTCCGAGGATTATATTCCTAAAATAAATATTTGATTTTTAGCAAAAAAATCAATATTATACTATGCTAATATTTTATTTAAAAAAATATTTTATTATTATTATTTAATTACATAAATATTTTTATAAGTATTGTTTATACAATAAAATAATTAAAACATAATTATACTATTTTATATATTATAAATAGTAATTGTTAAACTATAATTTTAATTGATTGATATACAATATAAATATACTTCTAATGTAATTACACATTTATTACAGTTTTACCATTACTTAAATTAATTGTCCAGCATTGGAATATTTGAAAAGAATCCATTTACATCAAGTAGTAAAAAATAAAAGCGTAAACAAAATTTATATTTTAATTTCTATACAGCTGCTCTACGTTTAATTGACATTTTTCCTTTAGACAAGTAAAGAAGATTTATACGAAATTTGCTATTATCTGATGTTTTTTTTACCCATATCTAAAGGGAATATACAATGTATAGTAAAATCATTTAAAATAATAAAATAATTTAGTAAGATTATACATGAGTTTTACTTACGGTTTCATTTCCTATTGCAGAAATTACAGCTGGAAATTTTGACATTTGTCTTCCTTCAACAAATACAGGCTGTCCTCTATGATACCTGAATTGTATTTATTAAAATTTAAATTACTATTTTGTTATTTAAAAACATAAGCAGAACTGAAAGCCGTTTTACTACAAAACTAATAAATAGCAAAAGTTAAAAAATTAAAATATGAGTTGAGCAATTTTTAATCTTTATACATGTACACAACATTATTTTTGTTAAAGATAATAAAAAAATTTCTTTTTAGAAATAAAGTATAGATTATAAACATGTAAGTTAATAGACCCTCCTTCATTATGAGGTTGATACATATCTAGTCTAGGTTTACAAAGGCTAAGATATTTTTTTCTTATTTTCCAAATAACACCTACAGTAAACGGGAACAGATTTAAGAGGAAACAGATATTACTATCTTGGGGGAAATTTTATGGTGTATACAAGGAGGATGGCCAAATATGTTAAATCAATTATTGCAAAATTACTAGAGGTGGAAAATGTTGAAATATAACTCTAGCAATAAAAACTAACTGTAGCAATAAGATCAAGTTTCTCAGAAAAAAAAAATTTTGAAATGAAACTTTAAATAAATTATTTTATAATTAGATTTAAAGTTCCCAGTCTATCTACAAAAATAGGTTGCCACTTTCAAAAAATAATAATATATTATTTATTTGGTCATACCATCTTTTTTCAAATAATAATTTCCCATCTTCAATTCTTGTATCTGGAATAGCTGATGAACTTTCAGAATCAGAATTTTGACTTTTTTTAGGACTCATGTTCCCACTTGATGAACCAGAATTTAGAAAACCTAAGAATAAAAATGATTTTTAGCTGTGTATTTCAAAAAGTTTTATAATTAAATACCTGGTTTCCTGACAGATGAGGAATTTACAGTATCACGTGTTTTTACTGTTGTTGTAGTAGTAGAATTACTTGAAGCTGTGCTATTATTACTGCTAGAAATAGTTGTTGTAATGGTAGCAGTAGCGGTAGTTGTTGTAGAAGAATTTGAGCATATTGATGCTAAAGATTCTTGTATAGCTTTGACATCTTGTTCGATTTCACGTTCATCAAGCAAATAATAAATATTTGATACAGGAGGAGGTTTACGTCGTTTTTCTTGAGGAGCAGGTACAACAGGATCATTAGGTCTTCTTCTTAATTTTCTTGTCATAGCTGGTTTTTGGTCTATGGAGTCAGGAGCTAAAGAACAAATATAGATACTTAGCAAAATTCTAACTTCGAATTTTACAAATGCATATCATAATTATAGCTCATACCAAGTTCCATAGTCAAATTGTCATGTTCTATAGCTTTTTTCCTCTCATTCAACTCAGTTACCAAAGTTTCTGTTAATTCATTATTACGGTCATCAAACTCTTTATGTGCAAGTCGACGTTCCTTAACAAATTCTCGTTCAATGGCTTCAAGTAAACAATCTCGCCAAATATTATTCATTAATAAACTATAAATAACAAATGTATTCATATAATTGATTAAGACTAATATAATATACGATTTCACTGTGATTTACTGGTTTTTTTGTTGAACTTCTAATTTTTTTAATTGCTTTACATACTCAACATGTGTGCCTTCTTGTAATTGCTTTTGAATTCCAGCAAGTTTATCCTGATATACTCTGTAACATTTTAAATTTTAATTATTTAATTTATAGTTTACATTTTGATATAATTACTGTTCTTGAATTTCAGTGCGTTTTTCACGATTTTCTTTTCCTTCATCTAAATGCAAATATTTATTAATAACAGTTTTAAAAAAATCAGGTTTTTATTTAATACCATCAGAGTCTGAAATATCCTTATTTCCTATATTATTACTTAATTCTTCGTCATCTATAGAATATGAAGAAGATGGAGACATATTATTTTCATTTATCGACATAACTATTGCAATAAAGCACTAAATAATTAATATTATGCGTCAAAATTAAACATTCTGACTTCAGCTAACAGTTAGGAATATTGTTTGAAACTGATAAAAACTTCTGCTGTTATCAAAGTAACAAACACGTACTGTTGTTGAGGTATTATTTGATTGTTCATTGTATTTAGAAATAATAATTACTGAAAAGTATTTTCTTAATAAGAATACTGAGTTGACGCAATATTTTTTGATATAGTATTATTTTTAGTTATGAAATCGTGCTACCTTAAAAAATTGTAAATTCTTTTTTTATATCAAATACCACCAGTTTCATAATAATTTATAAAACTGTATGTTACATCTTATATAATAAAATTTACAAAAGACAAATGGTTAAAAATCCTAGTTCTAATTATCCCTAATAGTTTGACTTCGTATTATTAATAGTTAGTTATGATCATTGTTTATTAAAATTCTTATCATTCAAAATAGTCAATAATGTAACAATAATC